CACACACACACACACACACACACACACACACACACACACACACACACACACACTTTTAATAAAACCAAATATAAAATATACATTTACTTTTTAAATAGTTATTATTCCAGACTGATTAAAGATAAATTAAATATACATTATTTTTCACACACATTCATAATAATATTAATTTTTATTTTCCAAAATAATATTTTATATCTGAAAGAACTTCATGTGTAATAATACTAATAATAGTAACAGTGTGATGGATTAAAGCCCTTTCGATGACTCCAACACAGATTTAATAAAATATCAATGAAACAATGTTTTTGCTGCTGTTTTCAGGGTTCTTGCAGCGCTGCTGGATGCTTGGCTAACTGAGTAGATTTATGAATGACCTCACTGATCAATAATCAATGATGATTACCGCTCTTGGTCTTCTTGCTCTGTTCGTCCTCTCCTCCAGGAATTCCAGGGATTCCCAGGAATGTGTTGTGAGAGTTTCCGTACCAGACGAGCAGCTCCTGGTCGGGAGGGATGGTCTGAGGAAGGAAGAGAAAAGAGGAAGAGCAATAAATACTTGAATCAGCGTTTACTTTATCATAGCAACATTACTGCGTTTCATTATCTCAGTATTATTGTTTTATTGTAAATATTTGATTCTTTCTTTCAAACTTGTCATAAATTCTGAAACATTTTCAGAATTTATGTTTTTCTTTTCTTCAGTTCAAATCTGTTTAAATTTCAGCTGCATGTCGTTAACCTTCGAGCATCGAGTGGAGGGTTACGCTCAGACACCTGGAGGAGCCGGTCGAAGAACGGCACCTGGAATCAGGCCGAGCTTCATCGCTCAAGGATTTATTTTAGAGAACAGGTGACGGCAGCGCGCTGAAGCTTCCCATGTTTCCTTCACATGGATCTGGAGTCTTCTCAGGCTGATCTGAGATCAGAAGCTTTTCCAAACATGATGAAGCGACGTGGAATAACCACACCCTCCTCTGCTCCACGGCTCTTTTGGCTGTTTTGGTTGTTTCTGTAGTTGCTGTGCTGCTTCAGTGACCTTTGTGTGCACGTTTATGGTGTAAGTTAAGAGGCGTGTAGAGTCTGTAGAGGTGTGCAGTGATGTTGGGTTTATTCACTGAAACATGGTCGCCTTCCTTTATTTATTCCTTTGTTGTTCCAGCAGGCGGTTTGATAAAAGCAACGATAAATACTTCTGAGCAGACATGAGGAGGAAAAGATCCCTGAACCACCAAGAACCTCAGCCTCCAAACCACCAACATCTCTCCGTGAACGCAGGTGTACATGTACCTGGGTCACATGATGTCACCCTGCAGGTGGAAGCAGGTGCGATGATACCTGAGGAGCTGGAACATGACGAGTTTCACTAACCTCCACCGCCTTGTAGAAGATGCTGCTGCCGATCTGGACCACCTCGAGGTTCTGCTCCTGCTCGTTCCTCGCACACTTGATGTACGTCATCCAGCTCCTCTGGTCCTCCTGACTCGCATCGATAAAATACCTGACTGTGCCGTCCTCATTAAACACCTGAGGAGGGAGGCAGGAAGAAGAAAGTAAACACCATTTCCAGCTAAAGTCATTAGTTTAGTGTTCTCACTAGGGGGTTATTTCAAAGACCTCATACACAGATAATAACTAAGCTTTTTGACATGCTAACCAGTGGAACTGCATATGAGGATCAGTTAACAGTTAGTTATCATCCTGCTAATCTGTTGGTTCAGTTATTTTAATAGCAAGCTAAGAATCAGCATATAAGTTTGTAAGTTAGATTAGCCATGTAACTTGTTGCAAGTAGTTGGATAGTTAACAGTTAACCATGTTGTTGATAAACCAATTAGCTGGCTAGGTAGCAATTGACTTGTTAGTTAGGTGTGAGCTAGCTAATATGCTAAAATCAAGTCACTAAACTTCTTAACCAGCAAACTTTAAGTAAATACTGAGGTTTGCCTGTAAAGGTCCAGCCAGCAGCTAGTTAACACTGGAAATAAGCTGGAAGACTCGATGGTTAGCATTGAGTTAGCCTTCAGGTATTTGTTTAGCAAGTATGTTTGCATTTAGCCAGCCACTTGCTCGCTGTGAGTTTTATAAGTTAGCGGGGAGCTCGTTACTAGTAGGTGACTAATTAAGTAGAGTGTTAAAATTGAGTGAGTTAGTCTGACAGCTGGTAGAAAGTCGGCAGACTTCTTATAGCTTAAAGGGAGCAAAGACACGGCCCCAGAATCAAGCCTTGGGGAACTCCACATGGGGGCAACACTCAACCTAAAACCTTCCTCTGACAAAGACAAGGGTTTTTGTTTTTAATGATTTATTTATTTATTTTTGGGGAACACAAACAGCTGCTTTCCAGTAGAGGATAAGAAGGGTTATTTTTCATTATGAAACACACAAAGCTGCTCTAGAAAAAAAATCCAAGGAAAAAGAAAGACACCAAAACATGAGAGCTGGGACAGAGCAGTCTGAACGTGAACGTCGCCTCACCTCCCACATCAGGTTGTTGTTCTTGTACAGGTCGATGTGTTCAGGTGACACCAGGCGTCCGGTGAACGGACCCATCTCTGTCCCCGCTTTGATCCAGGTTTTGGAGAAAATGCCCAGACCTTCTCCTGGGACCACAGAAAACAGTAAAGAGAGGGCGTAAGAAGAACACGGCACCGGTGATCTGCGGCTGGGCTTTAAAGAGAGACCAGCAAACCCACAGAGGTTTACAGGTGAGCTTACCTGGGACTGAGCTCTGAGCGATGATCACCTCACTGGGTAAAACCAGGCTGGACAGCTTCTGCACCTCTGGACACAAACACAGCGCGCAGATTTTCATGTCAACATGTGTCACTCCTGCTTCTACAATTGGAATTCAAAAATGAAAATAGAAATGACAGCGCTGCTTCGACTTTTTAAACGCATTTTAAACTGCGTCGGAAACGCTCGGAGCGCATTTTTCTGCCGGTTTATGGATGAAAAAGTCCCCGAAAGATGAATACCTGATGGAAGCAGCAGGAAATGTTCCCGAGAACACGTCTACAATCAGGAAAACCCCCGGGACATTGTACGGGAGAGCTGAAGGAGCGCGCGGGGAGAGAAAAGCGGGAGTAAAGGCGTGAAGATGAAAGCTGAGGCCGCCGCGGGAAAACGCGACACGTCCGTCGGAGAGTTGACCCGGAGCATCCACCCGAAGCCCGGTCGCTCCTCCTAAATTGTCCCCAACGAACTTCACCCAGAACGGAAACGAATTTCACAATAAAATCACATTAAAATAAAAAAGAAGTGAGCACGCGACAGCGAGAAACGGGCCGCGGCTCGCGCTTTGAAAGAGAGATCACGGACGTGATTACCGATCAGGAGCCAATCAGTCAGCAGCTGTTTGTTCATTAACAAACCATCCAAAGAATGTGATCAAATCTGATCAGTTATTGATGAGGATAATTAGCAACAAACAAACAAGAATCAATATTTTAAATTCATATTTAAACAGTTTAACAGATTTATTTTAAATACGAGTTTAAAGGTTAAATTAAATCTTTTTTCTGTTTCATTAAAGATTTTTATCTTTTTCGTTTTAGGCTCCAAAATTAAAATTTATGCGACACTTGTGTAAATATTTACAAATATTTGCAAATATTTGTAAATATTTGTAAATATAGAGAATAAATAAAACGAGTAAAAAAAAAACAGAAGAAATGAGATCAATTATTATTATTATTATTATTATTATTATTATTATTATTATTATTATTGTCGTTGTTATTAATAATAGTATTATAGTAGGATAAGTAAAATAATATTTTGTGTGTTTGTTTGTTTTTTGTGTCGTGTGATGTGTGGACATACTGCAAATCAATTTGCCATTGGAGACAATAAAGTTACCACTGACATTATTATCATTATTATTATTATCATCATCATTATTATTATTATGCTTGTTGTTATCTGGTGTCTCCGTTTCTGAGCTGTACGGTTGGTCACTGACCTCCGGAGAAGGACTGCGCGAGCACCTCGGCGGTGAACGCGGTCTTGGGGCTCGCGCTCGGGGCGGTGCGGTCCTCGTGCTGCAGGTGATGCTGGTGCGGGTGGTGCTGCTGCTCGCCCAGCACGTGCCTCCAGCGCCCGTACAGGAAGCTGTGCAGGATGTCCGAGGTGATGATGTCCGCGAGGGACAGCGGAGGCTTGAAGCCCGGCTTCAGGCCCAGAGAGGAGCCGGGCAGCACGGAGCCCATGGCGGCGAGAGCCGAGGGGAGAGCCGAGGTCAGAGCCGGGGTCAGGGAGAAATCCTCCCGCTGAACAAATTTAAAAAAAAACCCAAAAAAACACAGTCAAAAACTCCTGTTTTACACCGACCGAGGAGCGAGGAGGAGACAGGAGCAGAGGAGCAGCTTGCGTGTCTGAGTCAGAGGTGAAGTTAAAATCCTGAGAGGAGCAGGAGCAAAGCGGGCGCGGGCCGTGTGGGGGGGTCTTTATATGGAGCTCCATCACCTCCTCCTCCTCTAACAGAGGGAGGGGGGAATCCTGCACGCGCTGTTATTGGCTCCGTTTACAGCTCGGCTCGTGACACCGACACCCCACCGGGAGGAGCGGAGCCGGGCCGGTACTGGACCGAGGCCCCGCGGAGGTCCAAGCCCTCTTAGGGCAGGACCTCATAGGGCAGGTGTTCACGCATGCGCAGGTCAGCTTCCTGGCGCATGTTTCAGAGCTCACCTGCTCCTGCCTGAAGGCAGGGTTGGTAGTTTGATTTCAGCCCGCAGGTCAGGCTCATGGGCAGCTGATCAAACAAACAGCGATCAAACAGCTGATCGTTAAAAACAAAAACAGGAAACATTTCAGTTTACAACTACGTCACAAAACTGGGCGGAGACTAAAAGCGATAACAAAAATCAAATCCATCGATCAAATATGAGAAAAGTGATCCTAACATCAGACTGAGACCCGCCCACAGCTCAGAAACTGTAACTGATGATAAACCGATGACTGATACATTGTTATCATTTTAATCGAGCTGACACAACAAATGCAGATGAATGTAAAATGCGTCATTTGTGTGTTTGAAATTCAATCTAACACAGATTTCTTCTGTTTAACAGGTTTGAAAATGAAGCGCAGGAATGTGTGTGTGTGTGTGTGTGTTTGGGGGGCTGAGTGACAGAGCAGAAAAACCGATTAGAGGACAACAGCTGCTTTCTTCATCACCTCCTCCTCATCCTCCCGCTGTCTCTCAACAGGATTATGATTCTCTCGCTCACTCTGATCTGTATTTATGAGCTTTTAAACATTTATTGTCCACACACACACACACACACACACACACACACACACACACACACACACACACACACAGCGTCATGAAGTGAATGTGTGTGTGTACCTGTCTAGCTATCTTTGTGAGGACCGAAATCTGCATTCGACTTCACTTGTGAGGACACACGCGCGCGCGCACGCACGCACGCACCCGCGCGCGCGCACACACACACCGGTCTCACAAGTTTGAAGCCTTTTTGAGGCTCCAAATGTGGTTTTAGTGTCAGGGTTACCGTTAGGCTATGGTCAGGTTTAGGGTCAGGCGTTCATCTGTAATGGCATTATGTCAATGAAGGTCCTCACTGGGATAGCTGAACGGGCTTGTGTGTGTGTGTGTGTGTGTGTGTGTGTGTGTGTGTGTGTGTGTGTGTGTGTGTGTGTGTGATCTTAATATTTGTGCTTATTTGAATGTAAATATAAAATCCGACATCAATCTGCTCCGGGACTCCTCGGTGAGTCCTCGGTGTCTCCTCCCGGGCTCGGTGACTCCTCCGGCGGCCTCGGCCCCGGGTCTCTCCCGCCGCGCGTTCCCGGAGCAGAGCAGGGTTTTGCTGACGGGGACGCGCATGTATTGAAGCGGACACGCTTTAATGAGCTTCTCCGACAAAAAGGCCCGTGAGCGTGCCCGGTGTCCTCGCGCCTTTATCCCGCTCTTCACGGCCAATCAGGATCCACTTTAGGCGGGAAGTCAGGGGCGGTGGGGGGGCGGCAGGTGACTGGCACGCGTGAAGACAAGAGGGGGAGGCGGGGAGGAGGTGAAAGGAGAGGTGAGGAAGAGGTGGTGGGAACGCGCACAAATGGCGCACTGATATTGTTCCGCTAACATGATTAAGCAGCGCTGCGGCCTCATTAGTATTCATGCGGCGCGCAGACGGAGCCGCAAATAATCCGCGTTTAAAAGCGCTTTAATGAGCTCAGCTGCGCGAGACACCCCCCCCCCCCCCCCCCCCCCCCCCCCCCCCCCCCCCCCCCGCTCCGAGCCTCATCACCACCACCACCATCATCATCCTCCTCTGCTGTCAGAGGTCAGTCGTGATCGTCTTTCTGACCTGTTAGATTCAGTTTTCAGTTTTTTTGGAGACAAACCTGAGCCCTGCTCCGTGAGACTGTAAATAAAAGATGGCGTTAAACGTGATCTTCTGAGGCTGTTGTCTCCGCCCTCCTCTCACCAACGACCACACGGAACCACCCCAATCGGAGGTCGATCCGAGTCCGGCTCAACGTATCGGCATGTTTCAGCTGCTCAGGTTCAGGTTCTGTTCGTTGTAAGTTGGAAAGTGTAACTTGAGCTCTGTCAGGTGTGTTCGGGTTGTAATAGAGTACATGTGCTGCACACTTACGTTTCTAAGACGAACCGATGCTTAGAAATGTTTCTGCTCCGCGTGGTCATGTGACCCGGGGTGCTGAGGCGGAGCGTCTGCTCGGTCCTTATTTCTTCATCGTTTTCGAGGTTTCAAGACAAACGTCTCGCTTCACGCTCCTTCAACATGGTTTCAGGCAGAGGTCAAAGTTCAGCAGGGCGCTGCGAGCACAATTCAAACATGAGTCTGACTGAGGTTCAGTGTAGCGCAGAACAACGCCGAGTGCTGCGGACACGCTGTGGAACACCCAGGTGAGCATCTCTATGACCTCGCTCACATCAGGTGCACATCTGGTCTGCAGCTGCTCAGTAACAGAGGACGATGACGTCGCTCACTGTGTATCCAGTCAGTGACATCACTCGTATGTATGTTCTCATTATTATTATTTTATGTTATCATCACTCAAGTTACAGTTTAACTTTGGTGCCCACGACAGTAAGTGTCAGTCTGCCGTCCAGCTGTTTGGGCTGGTGTGTGTGCGCGGAGGGGTGGGGGGTACAGACATGGAGGTACGTGTTAAAGACGAGTCACGCTTCCTTCGGAAGGATGTTCACCTGCTCACATCAAAGCTTTCTCCTCATTTCAAACTCAAAAGATGAAGCAGCAACTGCGGGAGCGTCCACAAACTTGTGGTCTGGCCTGTCCTCCGGAGCAAACAAAGCCTGGATGATGAACGAGGCATCACGCTGCTCTGTAACCTCGGCTCTTTGCCTCGTGAAGGGTTAATGTTCATTGTAATGTTCTGTCATATCAGCGGGACAAACATCGACCGCAGGACTGAAACCGCACGAGTGCAGGCTTTTAGAGCAGCGCATTAATGAACACTGAGTCACGCGTCCACATACTTCTGCCCCCTGCAGCGAGGCTGGCAGACAGATTATTGGCCTGCTGGTCTCCGAGCTTCGGGGAAAAGGTTTGGACTGGATCCAGATCACCATTACTTTAATGGTTAATCAGGCCTGCCACAGACTCAGGGTTCATCTGTACTTACCGAGCTGCTTCCTGTACTTTACGACCGCCAACACTCTCCTCCGCACCGCAGCACACACTCACGCCGGTCCAGCTGTCTCTGTGAGGACCCGCGGCAATATAATGCAATATGAGGACTGTGGCACTGACCCTGAACTGGATTCTACTGTGAGCGCGAAACGTGTTCAAATACTGGCCCCTGTGCAGGTGTCTGAGGATGGCACACTAAAACGTTCCATAAAGTCATCAGACGATAAGGAAACGTCCTATTTCTTTGATAAGTTACCAAAAGAATTGATAGCTGCCAGTTTCATACTGAATAATTACTGAAGTGCTGCACTCAGTGACTGCAGGGTCCCCTGAGGATGCTAATGACATCACAGTCCCCACACAGGCACATATACGAGTACACCTACACTGGCAGTAATAACAGAGCTCTCACTTTTTCCCTTCATCTTCATCACTTTAAACATTTGTCACTCTGTTCAGCGCAGTGGGAACAAACGCCTGTCGGTCAGCTTCAGGTTTACAAAAATAACGCCGTCTCGTCACGCTCATCGTGAAACAGATGCCATCTCTGAAACTTGTTGCTCCTGCAGGAGGCCGTGTTGGGGCGGGGCTTTTAACTCTGCTCAGGTGCCCGGCGCCTCGAGCTGCAGACCTGATGGATCACTGTTATTGATCCCCGGGGATCTGCAGGCGTGTGATTACAGTAATGCCCTAATGATGGATGACATCAGGCCGTCACTCAGACCATCTGTCTGCGCTCCGGGAACATGAATAAATGATAACTCCCACTTTTCATGTGAGAAGAGCTGCTATATATTTGTGAGGACCGACTCCACACCAGCTAATGAAAATTCAGAATCTAACAGACGAACAGAAAAATGTCTGAAGTCTGAGCTGCAGCTTTGACCCAAGATGTCCCAGCTTTCTTCAGATGGCTTCAGGAATCCTCCCGGGTCTTCACAAACATCCGGCTGAAAACTTTAAATGTTGCAGGTTCTGGAGGTCCGCCTCTGTGGCAAACATGTTTTAACTGGAAGTTTGAAATCCATCTGAAAGATTTGGATTGGTTGGCTGAGGCACAGACTGCAGAGGGAGCGCTTTATATTCCCTGAACTGGCTCCACAACAGTTCTCACTTTCAAATGTGAAGACTTGGGGCAATTCGGATCGGATGATTCCAGCACAGCAACGAGTGTTAAGGTCAGTAAGAGTAAACCTTAAATCAGTTTCCTGATAGCAGAAACATCGATGCCACGTTTGGCAGTTATGGCTCAGATATGGCAAACTCAGCCTAGTGTGGGTCAAAGGAAGCTGTTTCTATGGAAACGATGAGCTTGGTTGTGTTGATGCACGCTCAGTCATCCAGGTAAGGAAAGCTTGATTCTGTTCTTCTGGATGTTGTCAGTGAGAGAAACGTTTCCTCATCATCAGGTAACTCCTTCAGTCTCAGCTGACTGCAGGGTTCAACCTTATGAACAGGACATTGTGCTGGAGGTCAGTTTATCATCATTAATATGCAAATTCTTATGTCCACTGATCAATGTCCATGAGAAGCATTCACACAGAGCTGTGAGGCGGCTGCAGCATTGTTCATCAGTGCTGCATGTGTCAGCCATTGTGCAGATGTCCTGTTTATAAGGTTGAACCCTGCAGTCAGCTGAGACTGAAGGAGTTACCTGATGATGAGGAAACGTTTCTCTCACTGACAACATCCAGAAGAACAGAATCAAGTTTTTTGGATGGTTTGCTGCTTGTTTACAGGCTGCTGTGGGAACCGCTCACCAAGGCTCTCTCAGCACTGCTGTTTGAGAACATCTGGGCAGGACTTGTCCGGAGCAGCGGCCGTCCACGCAGTCCACCACGCAGCTCTGAGACCGCAGCTCGTTCACGTTGACCCCATCTGAAGAGGCTGAACCTAAAATAACACCAAGCACAAACTGACGGGCGGTTTCTGTTTCAGACCTGCTCCAGAACTACAGCACTGGGTTTGCATCAGAAGTGTCAGAACTCATTAAAGGGAAGCAGCGGGTTTATGTAGAGATGGAAGACTTCATGAGAGGACATGAACAGGTTTGTCACGTGGCTGCAGCTCTCAGCAGCTGAATGTTTGATGTGAATGCACGTCACAAAGACACAGTCAGAAAGAATGAGCCCATTTATTAACCCTCATGTTAATCATCATCCTCGACCACCGACAGTCTCGTGGCTCGGGTTCATACACAACTCTATCTGTCAATAGAATCTAATAGAAAAATCTGCAGGTTACAGTTAGGACGTCTGTCCATTAGAAAAACAACAGAAACCATAAAACCAAAAAGCTCCCCGTCCCCCCTTCAGGACCGGGATCGGGACTGGGAAGTTCTAGGCCAGAGTGGAGCGAGCGTCGTGTCTGGTTCAGGTCCTGAGACGCTGCGAGAACCGGACACCAGGCTGGCGTCCGCTCCACCGTTAACAACTCCGGGGGGGGGGGGGGTTTAACCCCTTCACTATAGCTCCCCACGCCTCGGAGGGGCCACAACAACGAGCTGCGGGACTTCAACACGCCTGCGACGACAACGCTCAGCTCGTCTGGTCCAATTACAGGCGTGTTGAAGGTGGCGGCGTCCAGACGGGAACAGGCGAGGAGAGAGAGACAGTTAGCCTAGCAGTCTTGAGAATATAACACATATTCAGCTTCGGTTAGACACGACACGTGAATTAAACAATATCATCTTTAACAAAGTACATTTTAACTGGAGAGCACCCGCCAGAGGAAATTTACACAAACCATATCATCACATCGACAAAATGAATATTCATAACAGATTTAAATAGACCCCTGAACAGGAGAACTCATTATTATCGTCATTATTATCAGCATCATCATCATCACACATACACGAAGCAGAAGCACTGATTCAACGACAACCAGATCTCCCTCGACAAGACAAACCTCTCTGTGGTCCGACACGCACAACGTTCAGAGAACTGCTCTGCCAACACGCACACAGCGCCGAGCCGACGCACAAAATGAGCCAAAACGCACACATTTTCATTAAACGCTCAGCTAACAAACAAAACTTATAACAGCACACAGCGCTAGCATACATACACTAACACGCACGCAAAGTTTAGCTAAACGTTCAGCTAACACACAGATTAAATCCTTACCACTTGCTTAGCTGATAACGTTCAACTAACAAGGTTTTGCTAGTAGGCAAAAATGATCAGCTAACAAACAGTGCTAACGCTAAGTGTAGCACATGTACAGATGAGCACATTTTTAAAAAGTATCAATGAATGTGAATTTATGCACAAAACAATTTTATTGCTAACTGCATGTTAACGCTAAAGAAACTAATCAGTAGATTCAAAGTCCGGCTGCGTTTGAAAAACAAACAAAAAAACACATTTACAATCTGTGCAAGTATAAAACAGCAACAAAACAATTGTACATTTATTTTGAAGTGTAAACCAGCCCTAATATAAACAGAACATACAGCTAATGTACAGCAGCCGGCTAGTTTGTTTGGCTAACGAACATTAAAGTCGTATTTACAGAGTCACTCGTTCATGCTAGTCATGCGGTTGAATGAGACAGATGGACGTTCAGCCTAGAAACGCTGTTTTTGGCCTTTTGCTAACACATCAGATTACACCATTTAGCAGTAACAGTGTGAGAGCTCATGCTTCCACGTTCAGACATTATCCCGTACAGCTCTACTTTTCTAATATACTTTTCCTCTAAAATGTTTACAAAATCTCCACGATCTGCATCAGGTTAAATGTTATTAGTCGTTATTTACAGTCTGTGCAACACGTCACGAGCGCAGAGTAACACCAAGTTCCCAAACAGTCACTACTGCTACGTTCCCCACAGCTATACGTAATGTAAGTCGTTAGCCACACAACGTGACGACTGCTGGAACCTGTGAAAGGGATTTTCTGTTCCCTGTATGGCTTTTAGTTAGACTGCCCGACATGTCAGGGAACTTGAAATAAGCTTAGCGCTTCCTGAGATGGAAACGAGGCTTAGAGGTTAGCTTAACCATAAAGCACCTAGGGAACAAAAATGGGAACATATAACCTTGGAACAAAGAAGCCTGAGAACTTAGGAACCTGGAAACTGGGAAGCAACTTTGGGAACATGTGACCTTAGGCATAAATGATCTTGAGAACAATTTTGGGAACGTGGTTTTGTAGACCTACCCGACACCTGGTTAACACACAACAGACAAGCACGGTGTTCAGTTAGCACATTCATTCAGCTAGCCTTTGTAACGTGCGCATAGAAAAAAACAAACAACCCCACAGCAGCTAACGTAGCGCTCGGACAGCATTTCCATTTACTTACATTCAGCTAACAGGCACCACTTAGCTAACGAAGCACAGCTAGCAGAAACATTCACACAGCTGAGGTAACACACACGTTTGTTTAGCTAACACGGAATCGATAACTTCATTGATCAGCTCCTGAAATTTCCTCTAAAAACAAATCAGAAAATAGAAATGCGACCAACAACAACAATAATAAAGTTCACTCAAAGAAAACTTATCTTCCCAGACTCGGTCATAAAAGCGGAGGCAGGAAAACGTGGCGGTGACTGGAGGTTAAATCGTGTGAGAATACAAAGCGTTAGACCACAGAGAGATCTGGCTTTAGACAACGCAATACAAGTCGCTATTTATTCATTGTTACATCATAAAAACCTAAAGAAATCACTATAAAGATACAAGAATAAGAGCTATGGTCAAACCAAAAGAAAACAGTAATGCATCATTGCACCTCCAAGTTGGCGACTGAACAGGTAAAATTAGGAGAAACAGACCCAGCGAGCAGATTTAGTACAAAAACTTTACATTTCCATCCGATGTCATTAAAACGGTTTGATGCCAAAATAAAAAACAAACTGAGTCAACACACAGCCTGACGCATGCTTTAAAACATTATCATAACCAAAATAATGATAATAATAATATTAATATCTGATTTTCATACTCAAGACTGCTAAGCCTTATACCGTTTTCTTATTGGAAAATAAAACTAGACAAAATATAGATTATACTGGATTTCGTTTTGTTCAAAGCCACACGGATACATCTTGAAATTCAAGTTTGATAAAAAATAAAAACAAAGAAAAACCAGGTCTACACCGCGGGAGACCGGAGGCTAGTCCAAAAACATCTGCCTGACAAAATATCGACTTTGTAAGGTTAAAAAACAGAAAGAAAGTTCGTGATTTTTCAGTTAATCCTTAGTTTTTCTCTACAAAAGGAGGAGGAAGCGGCAGAGCGTTGCTAGGAAACCCCGATTCGGACGCCATCGACAACCATCCGAGGCCTTCGCCGGTGAGGGAGGAGCCTCTAGTGATCCTGAGGAGACAGGAAGTGACAGTGACATTTAGCCGTCGTGACAAACGGGAGGAGGACATCGCTGTGAAGCAGAAGGCGCCTGTGTTACCTGTATCTGGGCGGGGTTCCACAGGTAGGGCTGCTGCTGCTGTCTGTAGTATTCTGCTAATGCTGCAGTGTAGTCTGGCACTGAACTCTGCTGAGACGACTGAGCTGCACACACACACACACACACACACACACGCACACACGCACACACGCACACGCATGTAGTGTGATGTTGTTCATCAATCAGCTGGTTTTGTATGGGCTCAAAATGTGGTCATAAATATTTTGTACTTGTAAAAAAAGATTTGTGTGTGGACTTAGAAAAAAAACCCTGCAAGTTACAAGTACGGATTTTGACCCTATTTTTCTTCCCTTCATCTGATTGGTCAATGTCATGTCAATCACAAATGTAACAATCCAATCAGAGAACAGATGGGTTTGGCTGTCGGAGGGGCGCTTTTTTTGAACTGTGGGGCAAACTGTGACTTTTCTTTCTGAGACGGAGGAACAGCCTGAAGCGTCACCAGTGTTGGTGAGTAACAGAGTAAATGAACCACCGTTACCTATTTAAAATACAAAATATGAGTAACTGTATTCCGTTACAGTTACCGTTTAAAAAGGTGGTATTCAGAATACAGTTACTTTGTTGAAATAAAGGATTACACGGCGGTCTGTTCCTGTTTCATATGTTCGGCTATGCCCTCTCTGTTTTTGGTTTCCATGCCGGTGGAAACCCAAACAAAACACGCATTAAGAGGCTCCAATGTCTGTGTCTCAATCTCACGGCCCACGTCACCTCTACATGTGGCCGCATACTGACATGAAGAAATATTTTTAAAAATTACTGTTCAAAAAATGACTTAATAAGAAGGCAACAGGCAGAGTGTTACAGGCATCGCCCTGAAGAATGTAGCCTCGTGGGCAGTGTAGTCCAGCTGTAAGTAAGCTATTAAGACTCGACTGTACGCTGTGTT